CCGGCCACGCAGGGCCCCATTTTGCGGGCCCTGCAGGGAGGCCCGGCCGTCTGTGGCTCCCCTGCCACCTGAAACAAGCACCTGGTCCCAAACACGTGCCACCAAAATGTCCTTCTCCGGTGCCTCCTCTCTACCTGGACGATGACGGGCTGCCCTTCCCCACGGACGTGATTCAGCACAGATTGCGGCAGATCGAGGCCAGCTACAAGCAGGAGGTTGAGCAGCTGCGCAGGCAGGTGCGGGAGCTGCAGCTGCGGCTGGACATCCGTCACTGCTGCGCCCCTCCGGCCGAGCCACCCATGGACTATGAGGATGACTTTGTAAGTAGCCGTTCCAGCCGCTCCAGCTCCAGCTAGCAATGGTCCTTCCCTCCCCTGCCCACCATTCCCGTTCTCTTACATTTGGAGGGGATGGTTAGGATTGTTCATGTGCTGCTTTGGCCCCTTTCCTGTCTTGTCATGCCATGTCCCTGAGTTATAAAAGGATAAATCTGTCCTCCCTTTGCTACTTGAGATCCAAGCAATGGTTCCTATATGGGCCTAAATTCATCCTCCTTTTGCTGCCTGTGTGGGGAACTGCAGAACTGCTCATACTCTCCCCGCTGAACGGTGCAAATGTGGCTGGAGGGAGGGAATGTCCCTGACTTGGAGGCAACTGAGGGAATTGGTGACTTTGGCTCTCATTTCAGACCTGCTTGAAGGAATCGGATGGCAGCGACACAGAGGATTTCTGCTCCGATCACAGTGAAGACTGCTTGTCGGAAGCAAGCTGGGAGCCTGTTGATAAAAAGGAGACTGAGGTACCTGTCCTGTTGTGACAGCTGTAAATGCACAACGAGACAGTATTTCCTTTCTGGTAGTTTGGGGCAGCAGCAGAGAGTGGGTTGGAGGAGAGTCAGAGTGCAGCAACCCTCATCCTTTAGGATAAGGCGAAGGATGTTCAAGACCTTCCTGATGTGCCAATATAGTGACGGGATGGTGGAGCTCATGGGTGTCATTCTGTGGCCTGTGGGACTTGCTGTGGGCCAGCACATCCTCAGTTGTGCTTTGGTGTCCAAAGACACTGCTCAGTGCGGTGTAGACCTCAACTGACCTGACTGGTGTTTGCCCTAGGTCACGCGGTGGGTCCCGGACCACATGGCTTCCCACTGCTTTAACTGCGACTGTGAATTCTGGCTGGCCAAACGGAGGCATCACTGCAGGTGAACATTTTTAAAAAAAATTTCCCTTCCCTTTTTCCTCTGTTTCTCTCAAACATCACAAAATCCCTCTCTGCAGTGTGGGTTCACTTCAGCTCCCAGCAGAAAGTTTTAGATCTTTCCTTTATTACACCAAGCCTCATGTAAATTTCTGATAGATTTTCAGTCTTCTCTGCTGCGCGTTTCCTTTTTCCTCATGAGTAGTAAATGCCCAAGTCCCTCTTCAGTGCTACTGGAGACTTAAGACACATGTTGACTGGGCGTAAGTAAGGCTGAGGCTTCACGGCTGAGCTGGATCCTTTGTGCTTCCTGAAGTTGTGCTCCGGTGTTCCCAGTTCTCTGCTCACTTCTGTTCTTGCTCCTTGACAGGAATTGCGGGAATGTGTTTTGCGCTGGTTGCTGCCATCTGAAGCTGCCCATCCCTGATCAGCAGTTATACGACCCTGTCCTCGTTTGTAACTCCTGTTATGACCATATCCAAGTGTCTCGTGCCAGGGAGCTCATGAGCCAACACCTGAAGAAACCCATCGCCACGGCTTCCAGCTGAATGCCACACAGGGGACCTGTCGAGCCAGCCTTTCCTCTCGTGGGTTTGAAGGGTGACTCTGCCTCCACTGTAATTGTGAAGGCCTTTGGTGCAACACTTGAACACCAAGCTTGAAAGCACTGTCTTCAGCAGTCTTATTATCAGTCTGGAGCAGAGGAGCTCAAAGTAGAGAGCATGGTGTGTGTCCCCGCTCTGGTACTGGTGGGTCCGTACGTTGTGGTCTGACAACCTAGGGCTAAAGGGGGACTGCAACCTCTTTCTTCTGTGGGCTGGAAAGGAATGTTTTCACAGATGTTGCCTGTGCAAAGTACCCCCAAAGCAATAGAAAGGCATGTTTAGAAGCAAATCCCCCTACCAAGGCAGGCTCTGTGCAAGGAGGAGGAGGACAGACTCCAGGCAGCACCACGTACATTGGAAGGATCCCAGCTCTCAGCCTGGAGCAGTCCTGCAGATTCTCTTTCCATGGAGTGTGATTTGCCATCAGCTTGGTGAACAAGACTCATTAGCCATCACTAATTGATGTTTGTCTTGAGCGCTGGAAGATTAATTCTGACTGGAAACAGGGCAAGGCGATTTTCCCTGTTTCCACACTCTGCGAGGATTGGTGATTGCACTTGGCTCTGCCCCTGTCCCTCAACACTGCGGGGAGAGGGGGGATTTGGCTTCTCCACTTCCCGCTCTGCCCGTCTGCTTTGTCCGCAGTAGTGTCACAGCCTGGTGCTAACACAGGAATGACACCCTGATCCTCCCGGCATGGAAGCAGAACTCGTGTTCCTGTGTTGCTCCTCCTCCCCTTTCTGCCCTCTGCTCTCCACTTCCTCTTGCTCTTTATCCTGAAAACTTGATACCTTGAGGGTATAGGCCATAACGTGTTGTTTTACCTCCTGGAATGTGCTGTCTGGTGTATGTGAGGGTTTCAGTCCAAATGCTGCTATATATTTCTGTGCACTTAATGTAACCCGAAAAAGGGAGAATGAAGCATCGATACCAAAACAAGAGTGGGGAAGGACACTGGCTGACATAGACACTAGAGTCTGCGCTTTTCACTTTGGGATGTGCAACCAAGCTACAGTGATGGCCATGACATGTGGCATCTGTTCAGTCCTGGAAACAATCTCTTTGATTTTCCCCAATGCGACTTAAAATTTGTCTTGAATTCGACTTCCTTTTTTGTCTCCTGTACAGTGGTCAAAGTTCAGAGTTGCCAACTTGTAATTGCCTCTCTGCTTCTTCCTTAAACTAGAGAGCAGGAATCCCAGCTCATCCCAAGAACAAAACGAACAGGGTTTAGAAAGAAGGATTTAGAAAGAAAGTGGGCTTCAGGTGAGCTTGAGCTTAATCCCTTGATCAGTCTGGGTGTATCCACGCTGCCTCCTTTCCAAGAAATCTGCAGATATTAGCCAGGAAGAACAGTTCAAACACGGCACATGTCTTTATAGCAGTGTAGGTTTTCTTTCCAACTTGATGAGATGCTGTTTGGATTCGGTGCCTCGTGAGCTGAGGCTCGACATGGAGGGAGGACCAGTGAGGGCATTTGGCCTAATCACGAGGCAAGTGACTTTACACTGTTACGATCTCGCAGATTTTTTTCTTCTGCCAATGGTCTGTCAACTCCAGCAGAGGGAATAGAGTAATGACCCTTTCCTGCACTTGGACATGTCAGTAAATCCCAATAGTGCAAGCAAAGCTAGCATCATCTGAAGACCCCGTACTTACTTGGACTGTGCTTCTTTTCCATACTGGGAACAACCAATATGGCTTTGGGAAGAGAAGGCACCTTGCTTCAGATTCTCCCCTGCCTTGTACCTTGCAGTCATTGCCAGACATGGAAGAGTGACCCTTGGGCTGGAAGAAGAATTTGGATTTGGCTCTGTTTTGCACGTGTTGGAGTGACTGCAAGCAATAAGGAAGCCAGAAACTAGGTACTCCTGGCCCTTCAATTCAGGCCATTAGTCCAAACTGCTTTTAGCTCTTGTGAGTTTCAGCGTCACAATGTGCTGGCCAAAAACTCTAAAATCAGTTCAATAGCATTGTGACAAACAAAATGTGCTGTACACTCAATACAGTTCAAATAAAATCTCTATATTAGTGCTGCTGCGTTGGGGCTCGTTCTTCAGTTGGTGGCATGTTCTTGCACAGACCTTTCCTAGCTCGTACCTGCCACGCTGTCCCTCGATTAAGGCCTGTTAGGAATCTAACACTTCTCGCAAACAGGAGCCACAGGTAGGACATGGAACAACCTGGGCCACGCGCGTCTGCTCCGAGGATTCGTGTGTCCCCACCTTCCCCCGTGATGTCCCCTCAGGTGAGTGCTCGGGAACACTCACTAGCTGTTCACCAATATCGTACCTAGGCCTGTTAAGTTGTCTCAGCTTTGGCTGTCCCTGTGGCCGTGATGGTTTCACTGCCTTTCATATAGCCCTGGCAGCGTGTGGGCTCCTCCCCGGCCAAGCCACCAGCAAATGTGGCCCAAGTCCCATTTATTGCCCTTCTGTATAACTCGTGTGAGATAATTCATGTGCATTTCCCTTCCAGACTCGCAATATTCTTGCATACAGAACAACAAATAGGGACCGTTGCACTTGCCCTTGGCACATGAGGCTGACGTGCAGGGAATCCTGCATCGAGTCTGGGAGTTGTGGGCAGGAGAGAATCCTTAAAAGTGTCACTTCAATTTAAAGCAACCAGTGAACTTAAGATCAACCCTATCTTGGTACGCTAGTCCCAGAGCTGAGATCAGTGCTCCCTTTGGACAGATTATACGAGGTTCCCTCATTGCATTAGAAGTGGCAGCAGTGTGATAACTTGTCACATGTAAAAATTAACCAGCAGCCCTGGAAACAGCGACACAAAAGGTCAAGTCTTCAGGCAGCATTTGTGAATATTAAACCTGAATGATGTTGCTACAAGAAAGTCTTCTGCTTTACTTCCAATCTGAGTTCCAAATAGCATCTTGATATCTAGCAACAGACGGTGGCTGCTGGGACTGTGCTCTGAACCTTTTGCCATGCATCAACAAGCAGCCCAGCCCCAGCTTGAGCAGGATCTTAGAGGAATTTTCTCCTGCATGTTCAGGGTTGAATGTAGGTGTTTTACTTCAGACGCTGGTGGCTGTCATAGTGTCGGACTGCCTTGTCAGCAAGGATACCTGATGTTTGTGGGTATTGAGCACAAGGAAAAAAATCACTGAAAGAATTTAAAGGCATAATTTGCCAACACGGTCAGCCCGAAGTAATCTGTGTGTTGAAATGTGTCTAAACAGGAGTGGAAAAGACCTGATTTGGGCCTACCACAAGCAGTGAGGTCAAAGCCTTCCCATATTAGCGCAGTAAGTGCTCTGATTTCTCAGAAAATTCACAACAGGAGCCACTTAGGATGTACTACAACACCTCATCAACCACTATATTAAATAAACGTAAGTTGAGGTGTACTGAGAGGTCGAGCCCAGCTTGTGCTGCATGGATATTACCTGGCTGCTGAGCCGTTAATGGTAGAAGTGCAGGGACTGTGAACATTCACGTTAAGCCTCAGTTGTGAAAGAAGAAGGGGAAAAAGCGTGACATAGGGGTTCTTGTAACCCCCGCAAGTACTGAAACGGCTCGAAGTGAGAGCAGCGTGCAGGCATGAGGGCTTGCGCCGCGGTGCATTCGACCCATTTCCATTTGCTTTATTGTTACTGTAGTATTTAAATAATAATGCATTCCTCTTCCCAAAATTCATGCTTCTATGTCAACGAGCTCTGGGCATTTCCATTTATATATTGTAGAAATATTTTATATTGTAGAAATAGCTACATCAACCATTTATGCATTGTATAAAGAGCTACAACGCATAGTTAAAACTAATGATTGTTTGAAATTGAACTTAGATAAAAGATACCTATCTATCAATCTTTTATCTATCTTTTAAAAGATAGATAGATGGATAGAAGACGCCAGATAAAAGTACCCAGCATGCTGAGAAAATGTTGCCCAAGCCCACACGCTAAGTTCACGGCATCAGGAATTTTGGGTCAGTCACGCATTTAATTTTATTCTTCAGTACAGCCTATTTTTTACTTAAATAAATAATTTATGCTATTCCTTCTAACGCAATCGCAGTCAAGGGCAGAGGAAAGAAATCCGCATGAAGCTGCTGTGCTGCCCCATGAAGCGGATGCTCGGGCGGCTGTAAGTATCCAAGAAACAAAACCCACGTGTATGGCTTAAAACGGGTCCTGGGGTACCCGAGGAGTGCAGCGCGCGAGCGCGTGCGGTGAACAGGCTGTGCGGGTCAGCGAGCTGGAGAGAAAGGAGGGCGGTGGCTCTGCAACGAGAGCATCGAAGGAGGAACCCACCCACGAGCCAACAACAGCAACGTGACAAGGTGGGAATCAAGCAAAGGTGGTTGGGAGGAGATGAAGACATAGGTGGAAAGAGAGGTACGGAGAGGAAGCAGCATAAGGCTACCCAAAAAGGCTGAAAAAATGCCACCCCCAAGGCTCGTGGAGGCCAACAGCTCTGACTGAGGGAGAATATTTCTCAATAAAAAGCATTTTTGTTATAACTGATCTGTTTCAAGTGAGTAGAAAGCTCCCATGTTCTCCAAAATAAGAGTGCAGAGGTAGATCCACCAAGAGAGCTATGGACTCAGCTGCAAAACTCTGGAGGAAATCTTAACTTTTTGGGACTCATGTTCTGGGTTTGATGATGGGCCAAGTCTTGCTGGATCTAGACCAAGTTGTGAGCAAAATAAATAAATAAAAAGACCTACCCCACCTTCAGGCAATTGCAGCCTTCTTACATTCCTGCCGCAAGGGGCGGAAGAGGAGAAGCCTTAAATCATTTCCTCAAAGTAAAGCAAGGGACAATGGCAGGAACGCTGTGAAAATGTACTGAGACTTGGACTTTTCTCTTGGATTTCACATTTATGTTCGAGCAAGCTTTACTTAAAAGTTTTAGCTGATTACTTGGAGCAACCACTGCATCACTTTTAAGAGGACAATTACAGAGAAAACAAAAAAGTTGAGTTCCCGGGGAAGATGGCTTCATCTTTAGATGGTTTTAATGGCATCACTAGACCTGCAGGACATTAATTCCTTGAGGGAACGTGCTTCTGCGGCCCAGGATTTTATCTTTGACGACAATGCTGACAAAATGTCTGCCCTTTCCTGCTATTGCTACTGACCCAGAATAATGATGAATGTACAAGGTCTGCCAAAGTCAGGCACACAATTCGACCGAAACAACGTAATAATCAGCCAGTCTGCTGGAAAAAAAAAATGTAATCCCTCCCTTTCATATTTTTTCCTTGTCCTATGTTCCAACTATATGCTTCAGTCTGAAGCAAGAAGTGTCCACTTCTGCCCTAAATATTTAAGACAGTCGTATCTAACCTCGTATTCCTCACTGGAGTGCTGTGGAAGGGCAGACGGGTTTTACTTTCAGTTTATAGACAGGAACAATTTCCCATCGCCCTTTATTTCAAGTGTCCTTTCCATAGATTGCTGCATCCCACTGTCCTTGGTTCGGGAATGCCGTGTAAAACCACAGCAGTAACTCCCGGGAGCGGTGCCGGGGGGGCCGCTGCGGGGCCGCTCGTGCTGCGGG